TCCATTGCTATGGACCTAATAAGACAAATGTATTGAAACATTCAGCCTTCAGCTAAAAAGCAATGGGAAATAGTTCTTAATGTCAAATTATCTGACAAGATATGGTATTCCCCTATGAAATTACTTAGAAAACATATACATTGTCTAAATTTATACACATTTTTTTTTTTAAAGTTTTGCACAGATGGTACCTTGTTCCAACAAGGATGACCAAAATATCTCCGTCTAATTCCCCCCTGTGTTGGAGATGTTTAACTCAGGAGGGAAATATGTTGCATATCTGGAGGGGTTGTTCGAGGATATGTCCTCTATGGGAATCAATTTATCTTTTTTTGTCACGTTTACATAATAATGTTAAAAAATGTCCAGAAGCAGGTCTACTCCATATTAACTGGGGCAAACTTCCAAGGGATCAATTAATTTTGACTATTCACTCCTTTATAGCGGGGAAAATACTCATTGCAAAAAATTGGAAACAAATGACAACGCCAGATATGAAACAATTTATAGCTCAACTGTTATTTCATCAAGAAATGGAGAGAGGAGTTGCATACTCAAATAATAACTGTAAATACATATATCATCTGTAAGATATTGTGTTGTCAGCGCTTAGATATAATCAGGGGTAAAAGTCTTAACAAATGTATCTATAATAATTAGAAACAGCAATAGCATACAGTGTTAAGAGTGTCAATATAACTGATTGTAACAATCAGATTGTAACATAAAAAATCTAAATTGTATCTCAGTCCAGTATAAAATATGTAGCAGGGTCCAAAGTGACAGGAGGTCCACAGTGTTGTTTGGGAATACAATCTTTGACTTTGAATCCCTTAAAAAAGACAGAAAATATATATAGTGCAATACTGTATTTAATGTCTTAAAACACCAATGGAATCCCCCTCCCCAACATAGGAACCCTTACAGAAGAAAAATGTGGTGCTTATCTCTAAGGACCACAATAAAAGCTTTTCTGGCTGCAGTCTTATCTCTCCTCTGCTTCAAGGGTGCTGTCAGGAGTGTTCCCCTGTTTCTAATTTCTAATTATTATAGATACATTTTTTAAGACATTTACCCCTGATTATATCTAAGGGGATTATTCACTAAGCGCCGACAACACAATATCTTACAGTTTATTCATTGAATTTGGGAAGTTCATTTTTGTTTAGCAGCTATTATCTAGAGGTACTTTGTACCATTCTCTTATAAGTATTATTGTATATCTTTTTTGTGCGCTCTCTTTCACCCTTTTACATATATCATCTGGATAACTGGCTAAAAGAGATTAATGATATAGCCTAATAAACATGTATTCTCCTTGCATTACTAGATTACACAAGTTTCTCTCAAACTATTTTCCTTTCTCTATATACAAAGATACCAACCAATAACCGATCAATGTTTGTTATGTATGTTAAGTAAGTTTAGTAAGTCATGTTACCGTATTTTCCGGTGTATAAGACGACTTTTTACCCCTGGAAAATCTTTTCCAAAGTGGGGGGTTGTCTTATACACGGGGTATGCTAATGCTGCAGCCGCCTGAGCGCTCTATAGAGAGCGCTCAGACAGCTGCCGCACTGCCTCTCTTACCTTCCCTTCCCTGTGCAGAGTGGGTGGCCGAGCTCCTCTTCGTCCTGTCAGTCCGGCCGGGTACCGCGCGGTACAGGAGATTCAGTTACCTGTTCCCGGCCGGACTGAAAGGAAGTGCACACTGAGTGTTCACTTCCTTTCAGTCCGGCCGGGAACAGGTAACTGAATCTCCTGTTTGCCGAGTATGTTTTCCTGGCACTATAGTGGTCCTTTAATGTCTTGCTGTGTAGCTCTGTCTGCTCACTGTACATCATGGCTAATTTTTATTTGGTGTGCATTGGAAGAGGGGTAGTCTTATACGGTGAGTATATCCCAAACTCTATATTTTAACTGGAAAAGTTGGGGGTCGTCTTATATGCCCAGTCGTCTTATACGCCGGAAAATATGGTATGTGTTAAATAAATGCTCTTTTATATTAATGTCAACTAAAGTAATTTCATGTATATGTGAATGTAAAATTATTTCAATAAAGAGAAATTAAATACCAAATAGAACTGTCAAATACTGTGGTTACATCGCACTTTGAAAAATTCAAAATTTTTGGGTGCTAAAAAGTAAATTTGGGGCGTGCACTTCATATCTGAGAGTCAAATAGAACCGTCAAATACTGTGGTTACATTGCACTTTGAAAAATTCAATTTTTTTTGGTGCTAAATAGTACATTTGTGGCCTGCGGTGCATTTCTTGCAGTCCAATAAAACCATTTAATACTACTGTTACATTGTTGGTTGACAAATTCACATTTTTTGAGACAGTGAAGTAACTGTATTAATTACGCCTGTCACACTGTTGTGTGACCTCTAGAAATGTTTTTTCTTTAGGACACCAGCACTGCCTTACTGTCAGTGAACTTAATTGTTGACCATTGGCGGTTACATTGTTGCCTGACATAAACCATCTGTTAGTTTGGTGGGTGAACGCAAAGAATGAGGAGAGCGTCAAATTAGGGACATGGCCCTGGTCGTGATGCTGCTGGTGTTGGTGGAGCTCCTGTTGCAGGGAGAGAACATGGTCGATCTGTGCCAGCTACACGCACAAGTGAAACACCTTCCTCAGGTGCGAGTAGGCGACAGAACCTTCAGCGTTATTTGGTAGGCCCGAATGCCGCTCTACGAATGGTGAAGACAGAACAAGTAAAGACGATAGTAGATTGGATGGCTGACAGTGCCTCCAGTTCCTTCACATTGTCTCCCACCCGGTCCCCTGCTGAAAGCTCAGAGTTGGCACCTGCAGCCCATGGCCATCTGTCTTTCACCTCAACCTCTTGCAAATCAGCCAAGCAGTCTGAGCCACAAGTCATGCAGCAGTCTCTTATGCTTTTGATAACTCTGCTGGCGGGGTTTCCGTGGGCGATCCACCTAGCCCTGTCCCAGAAGTGGAAGAGATTGAGTGCACTGAGGCACAACCACTTATGTTTCAGGATGTGGACATGTGAGGACCACCGCAGCACGTCTCTGATGATGACGAAACACAGGTGCCAACTGCTGTGGATTTCTGCAGTGTGCAGACCGGCAAGGAGGGCAGGGTTGAGGAGTGGGTGGAAGATGATGTGGAGGATGATCAGGTCCTAGACCCCACATGGAATCAAGGTCATGCGAGTGACGTGTGCAGTTTGGAGGAAGAGGTGGTCGCACAGAGGTACCAGCACAGCATAAGAGGGAGCAGGGTGCAAAAGCAGAGCGGCTGTCCCCTAGACAGTACGCCTGCTACTGCCCACCGCACCCAGGGACCGAGCACACCAAAGCCAGCTCCAAGGAGTTCCCTGGCGTGGCAGTTCTTCAGACAATGTGCTGACGACAAGACACGACTGGTTTGCACACTGTGCAATCAGAGCCTGACGCGAGGCATAAACATTCTAAACCTGAGCACAACCTGCATGACCAGGCATCTACATGCAAAGCACGAGCTGCAGTGGAGTAAGCACCTCAAAAACCAAGAAAGGTCTCAGGCTACTCCTGCTTCCTCTTCTGCTGCTGTCTCTGCCTCTTCCTCCGCCTCTGGAGTGACAGTGGCACCCGCCAACCCGCAAAAAGAGGATGTGGCAGCAATGCCACCACGTCTGCCACCGTCCCCAAGCATCTACACACTATCCCATGGAAGCGTTCAGCTGTCCATCTCCCAAACAATGGAGAGTAAGAGGAAGTACCCCCTTACCCACCCGCGATCCATGGCCCTGAAAACCAGCATTTCAAAATTCCTGGCCTTTGAAATGCTGTCATTCCATCTGGTGGAGACGGACAGTTTTAAAAACCTGATGGCAGTGGCTGTCCCACAGTACATAATTCCCATCGGCCACTCCTTTTCCAGGTGAACCATCCCTTCCCTGCCCAATTAATTGGTGGAGAAAATCAGGTGTGCACTGCACAACGCCATCTGTG